AAAAAAAAAAAAAGTACCATTATTGGGAAAATTATGCTGTGAGTACCATCTTATGGTAGCAAAATAATGGCCCCCCAAAAATGTCCATGTTGAACCTGTGAATATGTCACTTTACATGCAAGGGACTGTGCAGATGTAATTAAGGTAAGGACCTTGAACTAGGGACATTACCCTGGATTATCCAGGTAGGCCCCATTATAATTACAAAGGTTCGTACAGGAGGGATGCACGAAAGTCAGAGTAAGAGAGAGACGTGATGACAGAAACAAGAGGTCAGAAAATGAGTTGTGAAGACGCTATGCTGCTCGTTTTGAAGATAGAGGAAGGAGCCTCAGCCAAGAAATGCAGGTAGCCACTGCAAACTGAAGAAAGCAAGGAAATGTGCTTTTCCTCAGAGAATAACACAGCCCTGTGACACCCTGATTTTAGTCCAGTGAGACCCATTTCGGACTTGACCTCCAGAATTATAAGATAATAATTTTTTGTTGTCTTAAGCCACCAAGTTGTATCAAGTTGTTACAGCCTCAATAGGAAATTAGTATATTTTAGGCTTTGGACCTGTAATTCGTACTGCCCCATTTTTTCTGTTTTGTTCTTGTTTGTGAGACAGTGAGTCTCGCTTTGTTGCCAGGCTGGAGTGCAGTGGCGCGATCTCCGCTCACTGCAACCTCCACCTCCGGGGTTCCAGAGATTCTCCTGCTTCAGCCTCCTAGGTAGCTAGAACTACAGGCGCGAACCACCATGCTCGGCTAATTTTTGTATTTTTAGTATAGACGGGGTTTCACCATGTTGGCCAGGATGGTCTTGATCCCTTGACCTCATGATCTGCTCACCTTGGCCTCCCGAAGTTCTAGGATTACAAGCATGAGCCACCATGCCTGGCCTTTGCACTGCTTCATTTAATGCAACTGTACTCTTTTAACATCCCATTACTTCTAAAAAAAAATTTTTAATGAGAAAACAAAATTTCTTCTTAAAAGTCATTTTAAACAGGCAAAAGAACATTAACACAGAACTCAACACTTATATACAGTACAACTGGCACTCTTGAAGTACTAGTGGTTTAGCAAATTAGCATAACTTTCCTGGAGAGGAATTCTATGAAGAGCCTTAAAATGTCTTAGTCTCTTTAATCTCAATTCTCCTGGCAGCTTTCTAAGGAAACAATAAAAAATGATCACAAATGTTTATGTACAAAAATCTTCAGGGCAGCTTCAGGTATTTGATATAACAGCTAAACAGCATAAATTACAACAATTAGAAAATTGCTGAGTAAGTAATGCTGCTTATTGTGAAACCATTAAACATTACACTTATTGAGAACGTTCAATGACACAGGGAAACACCTAAAAGTATAATCTTAAGCGAAGAGATAAAAATAATATATAGGCTGGGTGCAGTGTCTCACGCCTGTAATCCCAGCACTTTAGGAGGCCAAGGCCAGCGGATCACAAGGTCAGGAGTTTGAGACCAGCCTGG